GTTCCCACCCCTGGCACCTCCTGGGGCTCTGAGCTCAGCTGCCAGCCCGCACTCCCGGAGGGGTGCTGATGCTGCAGCCTGGAGGGAGGAAACCCTGCGCCCCGCCTCCAGGGGCCCAAGCTGAAGCCTGCCTGGGCCAGGGAGGGGTCCACTGCCCCAGGAGCTGTGCCCCACCAAGCCTGGGGGTCCAGGCGCCTGCCCCTCTTGAGCGCCAACTCGGGCACTCAGACTCCACAGGGCCTCTGTCCTCCTCCGGCCCAACCAGCCTCGCAGCTGCCCGTCCTTGCGCTGCCCCTGGACGCCCACTCTCCGCGCCTTGCGCCCTGCAAGCCCGTGGGAGGGGAGAAGCGGGGCTGGGCCTGGGCTCCTGCTCACAGCTGGGCTTGTCCTGGGCAGAGTCCTTGCTTGGGCCTCAGTTTCCTCAGCAGTAGGTGCACTAACAGTCCTCCCGTGGGCGGAGGGGAGGCCTGCAGGTGCACTGGGCTCTGTTGGCTGCTGACGTCCCCCCACGAGACATGGCTGCCCCGGTGGCCCAGGCAGCCCAGGCAGCTGGACCTGGCCAGATGGGAACGCTTGGCGGGGGGGTGGGTGGGGGGGGGCTGAGACGCCATATTGAGCTTACCCAGAACGGGGGAGGAGTCTGCATGGATTAACCTGCCCCTCTTTAAGAGTCCCGCCCAGGGCTTCCCTCGTGGTGCAGGGGCTAAGTCTCAGCACTGTGAAGCTGTCAGCAGCCACCACAGCGCCAGTTAGATCCCCAGCTGGGGAGTGACCTCCGGGGCGCAGCAGACCCCTCCTGTCTCTCTGCTGCTCCCCTCAGCAGTGTGTCTCGGTGGATCCACCTGTTCTGCTGTCCACTCTGTCTCTGGGGAATCCTCTAACACCCCCGACACCTCTGGCCTACACCCCAGCTCTTGTGTGCATAAATAAATAAAATGAATCTTAAAAAAAACAAAAAGAGTGCCCTCCCTGGTGGTGCAGCGGGTTAAAGCACAGCACTGAGAATCTAAAGCCGCTTCCGCATGAGTTCGATTCCCGCCTGCCCCGGAGGTGACCACAGGGCGCGCCAGACCTCTCCTGACCCGCCCGCTGCTCCCCTCAGCAGTGTACTTCATCCATCTGCCTGTTCTGTTCTCCGCTCTGTCTCTGGTGAAGCCTCTCACCGCCCCTAAGCCTCTGGCCTGTACCCCAGTTCTGTATGCACAAATAAAATAAAATCTTAAAATAATAATAATAATAATAAAAATAAAAAGAATTATGCTCAGATGGGAAATTGAGTCACAGAGCACAGATGTGACTTGCTCCGGAACATGCTGTGAAGACTCGGGACCAGATGAAGCAGCCTTCGGGCTCCAGGGCCCTGCTCCCAACCACCCCGCTGCCCCTCGGAGCTGGGCCGCCCTCTCTCAGCCTCACAGGCACTTGACCATGGTCTCGTCCAGACCAGCTGGCGGGGCAGGGCGGGCGAGAGAGCGGTGACCGTTCAGCCCTGAGGGCCAGCTAGTTCCAGCGTGCATGAGGCTGGGCGCAGGGCCCTGGGGCTCAGGCACTCGCTCGCAGTCTGGCCTCCCCTGCCCCATCAGAGGCCAGAGGCTGCAGTGTAGACTGTCCCTCAACAGTGTGCAGCGTCTGCCCCTGTCTGGGTGCTTTGTGTCAGAGTTGCTCCCTCCTGGCATGGGGGGTTACGGGGTGGGTAAGGCTGAAGGGTGAAGGGCACTATCATCTTCCTGACCCCCCCTGCTTTACACTCGGTGCCCTGCCCTGCCCTTAGCTGACCTCCACGGCCTGCATGGAGGCTCCCCTGACCTCTGGCTTCTGAGGCAGGTCAGTAGGGGTCACCAGAGGAAACAGGTCAGAGGGAGTTGGGGGTGCCATTCCTTAGAACCTACCCTGCACCAGGGAGTTGGGCTGACGTGTCCCTGGACCCGAGGCCCCAGCGCCTGTGCAGTGGCCCGCCCTGCACACCTGTCTCCTTTTGGGTCCGGTGTCCACCCCAACGCTTCAGACCATCCCTGAGGTCACTCAGAGCCCCCCCCCCCCCTTATTAACAGTCCTGCAGGTAGGCCCGCTCCCAATGAATCAGCTTGAGCATGTCATCCTTTTCTGGCAAGTCCCCAAGGTGACACGGGCCAGGTGTGAAAATGGACAATTTCCACCCCCTCCACCCCCTGGATTTGGGGGGTTGGGTGGCTGAGAACTGCCACCCGCCAAGGAGCGGTCCTGCTCGGTGCACCGCCCCCCGGCTCTCCAGCGCCCCCTAGGCGGGCCCGGAGCGCAGCGCCCACGGCCCACCCCGCACCGCTCCACTCACCCGGGAGATGCCCACGATCTGCACCTCGGGCAGCAGGCTGACGCGCACGAAGCAGGACTCGAAGCTGCCTTCCTCTCGCTCCAGCAGGTCCTTGCCCTGCCGCACGGCCACGTGCAGCGTGTGGGAGGCGCCGTCGTAGTCCATGCTCACCTCCACCTGGCCCAGCGTGAAGTCCTGCCCGAAGGTGTTGCTCACGGAGGAGATGGAGTTCAAGGAGTCGGCCGACTGCGACTTCCGCAGCGGCCCGTACGGGGCCAGGCCCAGCTCCCGGCCCATCAGCTCCAGCGGCCCCAGCTCGCTGATGCTCTCAAAGGTGTCCTCGATGCCAAGGCTGCCCTTGCGACTGGCTGGGCCTCGAGAGCTGGCCCGCTGGGCGCTCCACACAGGCACTCTCTGGGGATGAGAAAGGGGAGCTGGGGGCGTGCAAGGGCCATGGGCTCCAGGTTGAGGCGACAGGGGCCACTCGTAAGTCCCCACCGTCTGGGCACCTCCAGACCCCCCTTTTGCAAATGCGGCACATTCCTTACTTAGACAGGAAGAGGCTGCAAGAGAGCTTTTTCTCAGAATATTTTGATAGGGATAGGGCTCCACACATAAAGATGCGCATGGCAGTGACCGTTTAAAAAGGGGACTCCTAGCCGAAGTGCCCATCAGAAGGGGCCTGGGTGAGGACGGCAAGGGCGGCCGCTCACCAGCAGACCCGGCAGCCTCAACGGAAGCTGCATGCAACTTGAGGAAATCTTCAATCATGAGGAGACCTTCCTGCTGGGTGACAGTTGCCTTAACATTCATTTTTCTTTTCTCTAAATTGAACTTGGGACTTGAGAAGATGAAAATATTTGCACCCTAAGCATCTCCCCTGTGGCTGTGTAGTTTTCAATGCACCCCAACCGGCCACAGAGGGGTCGCCACAGTTCATGTTAGGGCTCCCTACTCTTGGGCACCTCTGTTGTTTCTGTTTCCACGAAGATAAATAATGCGGCACCCCACAGCTTTCCTAAAGTCCTGGCTCAGCGCACAGCCTTTTTGAGATCTGTTGACACCTCGGCGACACCCTCTTTAGAAAAGTGGCGTCGGGGCCCCCTGGTGGCGCAACGGGTTAGTGCAGCGCTGTGAAGCTCTCGGCAGCTGCACCGGGGAGGGACCCGCAGGGCCCGGCCCTCACCTGACCCTCCGCTGCTCCCCTCAGGGGTGTTTCACTCAATCTGCCTGTTCTGCTCTCCACTCTGTCTCTGGTGGATCCTCTCACCCTCCTACACCTCTGGCCTGCACCCTAGCTTTTGTACGCATAAATAAATCTTTAAAAAATATATCAGAAAGGAACGTTTCAAAATGGGAACGTCTCTCCAGCACCACTGCCCAGAGGCAAGCAACAGTTAATAGTTGCTGGACGCTGGCAGTAGGCATTTGGGAGAGATTTCCCCTTCCCCTCCTTTTTTTTTTTTAATTGGGGTAACTTTGATTTACAACGGGGTACGGTTCAGAGAGGTGGTTCCTTCTTAATTCTCCACAGGACGGATTTGGAAACGAAACCACTCATTCAACACATCTTCACAGATGATGAACTAGCACTGTGTGCAGTTGGGGCTGCAGGCGACCAGTCCCCACCGAGGAAATGCAGCAGGAGGGAGAGGGGTGTGGAGCTGGGGCCTGCGTGCCCCCGGGGTGGGGCTCGTCTGGCCGGTGCTTGGGAACGCGAGCCTCACCTTCTGCCTGGCCTCGTCGTACGTCTCCCCGTACTTCTGCTGCAGGTAGCGATAGTCGTAGTTTGGGAACGGGGAGGGGCTGGGAAAGCCCCCCGAAGTCCAGAGCTTCCACAGGCTCACGGCGGCAATGCCCAGCAGGGCCAGAGCCCCCGCCGCGTAGACGCCTACCTCCCAGCCCGGGGGGCTCTGGATAACTGCAAAGCAAGGGGAGCCTCCGGTTAGTGGGCGCTGGGAGCCCTGCCCCCACGCTGCGTTACAGACCCAGGAGCAGGGAGCTTAGTCAGACTCGGCGCTGACTGAGTCGGGTAAGTACTCACTGAGCCTGCTATGTGCCGGCTCTGCGCTGAGTGAGGGGGTTCCAGTGTCAAACAAGCCACATTCTCTCTGTGATTTCTGCTCCTAGCCTCTTTCCCACACAAACGTGCGTTTCTAGCAGGAGGGGCCTTGGCTAGAGCAGATGAAGCCCTGTGAACAATGGCTAATTATCTCTTAGGCGCTAAACAAATAGGGTTGCTTTCTCTTCTTTGAGGCCTTAGAGGACCTCTTGTTTCCAGAAAATCAAAGCTGCCATTGGCGCGGTGGGGGGGGGGTGAGGTGGGGAGGAGAAGGAGGGAGGGAGAGAAAAAGAAATGACTATTTTTGCCTCAGCCTCATCTAGAATAATATAATGTCTGTCAAGCAATGAAGAGATATAGTACAGTCAAACAATGGAATATTATTCAGCAGTGAAAACGGAGCAAAGTACAACATGGATGGGCCTGGAAAATATCTTGCAAAATGAGAGAAAAGGCCACAGGCGGTGTGAACCTACTTCTTTATTAAATGTCCAAATGGGGTGGACAGAAGGTAGTTACTGGTTGACAGGGGCTAGGGAGAGTGGAATGTAGACCACGGGATTTCTTTGGGGGAATGATGAATGTATTCTAAAGGCTGATAGTGCTGTTGGGCACACAGCTGAATGGTTATAAAAACCACTGAATGGTTATACGCTAAGTGGATAAATTATAGGGTCTGTGAATTTTATCTCAAGAAAGCTATTATTTGAAGAAAGGTCTTCAACCACAAGTGAGAGGTCCTGTACACTACGCAGGGTTTGGGGGGCAAATCCAGAGGCTCAATTGCTTTCTCTCCATTGACGAGTAACTGACTTTCCTTCTCTCAGCCTTACTGTTCCCAAAAGTAGTGACGAATGATGCCCTCCCGTGTGGCCCCTGCAGGAACCCCCCCTCCCCTTTGAAAGGTGGGTCTCACGATGCTGAGAAACCCAGCCCCCATTCCCAAAGCAGCCAATAAGCTGATGGACTCCATTCTGCTAGTCACACTTGGAAAATACAGTTCTCCACACCATCCTCAGCACTACCTGAGCACCCACTTCAAACAGGGAAACTGAGGCTCCTGAGGCCCACCAAGACCTTGCCTGAGTCACACAGCCAGGAGGGTGTGGTGTTGGGATTCCAACTCTGACTGCCAGACTGCAGAGAAAGCAGGGGTAACTGCTGCCCCCCCACCCAGCCTCCATCCAGTGTGGTCCCTGGCAGCAGGTTGAGAGAGGTGAGGAGGGTGTTTCAGGGCAGAGATTTAGCATCATCCGTCCATTGAGCACCTACTGTGTGCAAGCCCCTGAGGGGGGTGTTAGCCCCAAGCCCTGGTTAGGAAGTGAGGCGAAAAATGACTTGATAGAAAGGAGTGCTGGGAATCAAGATGGAAACAGTCCAGGGGGGCTTCCTGGAGGAGGAGGAATTTACATTCTAAAGGAGTAAGGCACCAGGAACTGGGAGTTTAGGGCTAGAAGATGGGGTGGGCAAAGCCTAGAGAAATTCACAGCTCCCAGTGGGGGAGTGGAACACTTGAAGCTAGAGTGGCTGCCCCTTGCTGCTTTCCCCGGGTGGGTATGAGCTGGGGTAGGGGGAAGGAGTCTGGGAGGAGTCACGCAGCAGTGGTGTGGGAGACTTCAGCCTGTCTCTGCTGTCCAGAGCCAGCCAAGTCTTGCCAGAATCCACACACACGCTGGAGGTCAGGGTTCATCCTTCAGTCCTGGCATTTAACTAAGGTCCCGACTCCACTTTCCAGAGGAGGGAAACTGAGGCCAAGAGAGGCCCAAGAATACATCCCTGTGCCAGCATATGACCAGAGGGGTGAGCGACGCTGGCAGGTGCAGGCGCCCTGGCTCCTGAGCAGGCCGCCTCTCTGCCCTCTGTGCCTCAGTCTCCACATCAGGGCACGGAGGTGCAGACAGAAACGTCCCCACCCGTGAGCACATCCTGGAGGGTTTGTTCTAAGGGGAAGAGCCCACAAGTTTGATGTCTGCTGTGAGTCACTGTGGCTGTATTTATAACTCAGAAATCTGGAAGCCGCCGGAAGGTCCCACCAGGGTCCAGTGGGGGCCGTCTTGGGAGGAATGTCACTGCCCTCCCAGAATGACAGTTGAGGTCATTAGCAGGTCCCCAAGGCCATGCTAAGAGCAAAAATTCAGCCTCATGATATAACCACACAACGTTGATGTCAAATGTAAAAATCACAGGACGCGTGGACGAGGGTGGGGTGTGTGAGAACAGGCGGGGGGCGGGGCTGCGAGCAGACCTTCTCCCTGACTTCTGCACTGAAATGTCATTTGTGGGTTAAATAAAATCACAGAGAAGGTCTAGGGGCGGGGGCCTGGCGAGCAGGGTGGGGGACCAGGTGACGGGCTCCGCGGCCTGGTGGGCACCGCTGGGCGGGGCGAGGAGCTGAACTGCGGTCTGAGGCTTGTGCTGGAGGGCGGCAGAGCAGAAACCTCCCCAGCCTGAGGGCCGGCTGGTGCTCTTGGCAGGAAAGGGGGGCAGGGCTGGGGCCCCTAAAAGGAAAAGCCTCAGGAGGGTGATGACAATTAATTAATGATGACAATTAATGCTCACTTACTTATTCAGTTTCTTGACACCAGCCCTGGGCAGGCAGGGTGGGGTCGGGGTGGGGTGGGGGGTGCTCCCCAGGGAAGTGAGGGCTCAGCTGAGGCCAGCAGAGGGTGGGAGGAGGCACCTGCTGTCCAGGGGCTGCTTGCCAGGCCCTGTCCTGCCCTGGCACCTCTGCCACCGAGTGCTCAGCATGAAAGGCTGCGCCGTGGCCCTTCACAGGCCAGGAGGCGGGGCCTGGTCAGCACTGTGACCGCAGCACCAGCCACGGGCACTCTGGGGAGGCGTGGTGTACCTGTGGGGTGGGGCGTGGTGGGCAGCTCACGAGTCTCCCGGCAGCCCTGGAGGGGGGCCTCACTGCCCCCCACCCCCCCGGCGAGTAAGTGGGGCTCGGGGCCTCACCAGGCCCATGAGCCACGAGCAGGCCTGCTTGCTGCGAGTGAGGGCCCTGGCTGGTCCCTGGCCCACCCTGTGAGCCCGATTCTGGCCAACTGGGGGCTGCCTTGGGCTGGTGTGAGGGGAGCCGGAGCCCCTGGCTGGGCGCTGGAAGCCCGCGCCTTCTGTCTGGGCTGCCCTGCTCCGTCTGGAGCTGCAGGGGGTCTCCCACCGGCCCCCCAGGCATGCTTGCTGCCGCACTCACCGCTCAGGTGGTACTCCGCCACGTCCACCGCCATGGTGCCTGTGACAGGGCCCGCCGGCGCTGGAAGGAAAGAGAGCCAGCACAGGGCCTCAGAGGGTCAGCAACACGCCGGCCCCGCCGTCCCGCCGGCCTCTGATCTGTCTAAAGCGCCGTGAGGCAAGGGTATGTGGTTTTTAAAAGAGCATCTTTTAAAAATGGTGTTCGAGGGCCTCCCTGGTGGCACAGGGGATAAGTCTCAGCACTGTGAAGCTGTCCGCAGCCCCGGAGGCACGAGTTCGATCCCCTGCCAAGGAGGGACCCACGGGGCGCAGCAGACCCCTCCTGTCTCCCCGCTGCTCCCCTCGGCAGTGGATTTCTGTCAATCCGCCTGCCCTGCTCCCCACTCTGTCTCTGGGGAGTTTGGCGTATCCCCACCCCACACCTCCCACAACATCTCTGACCTGAACCCAGGGGACTGCCCATGGACTGGTGGTGCTGGGAGGCAGTCAGCCCGCCATGGATGTGTTCCCTGTGTGTGCGGTTGGAAAAGGGGGGCTGGGAAAGCCGCAGGGGCCCCAGGGCCACAGTGACAGACGGACGGGACAGCCCCACGCCCCGGCTCTGTGTCCCCAGGGGTTCAGAGAGTGCATCCCGGTCAGCTGGGGGGCAGGCGGGGACGAGGGGCTGGGAGGCCGCTTGCTTGCCGGATCAGGCCAGTGGTTTCCCGTTACCCTGGGAACCAGCATCACCGGAGCTTCTGGTTCTGGAAAGAAAAGCCAGCTACCTGGCGCCTTAACCGGCACAGCCAGCACACACACAGCCGTGTAAGCGCTGTTCAGACGCAGCGGAAGAGGCTGTGGTCGGCCAGTTGGCTTTCTGTGGTTCCCTTTGGGACGGAGCCAAATCAGAGCGTTTTCCGGAATCCTAGGCTCTTCCCCATCTGTGGTTCTAGGGCCCAGAAGCTGGGTGCGTTTAGGCAGACAAGGCTCACAGGAGGGTGGCCCCCCCGGGGGGAGAGCCGGTGGGACAGGCTGGGGGGGGCCGTGCCGAGCCCCCCGGCGATGCCCCACTCCCCCGTGAGAGGCGGGTTGTTGTGGTGACGGGAGCGTGGTGCCAGCCCAGGCCGGGCTTCACCAGGTTGACTTGAGGGGCAGCAGCTCCTGGAGGAGGCCAGTGGGGATTTAGGGTCGCTGAGGGCGGAGACGCAGACGTATATTGCCTCATTTAATCCTCTAATGACCCCAGAGACAGGGACTATCATTATCTCTGGTTTGCAGAGGACTCTGGAAGCCTGAAGGGAAGTCATTTACCGCGCAGCTAACGGCACCGGGCTTTTGAAGTTTCCAGCGCAACCCCAGCCCCGGCGGCGGGGGCCTGGGCGAGCCACGGTTGCCACCTGCCTCTGCTCGGAAGCAGGTCATGCCCTGCCCACCTGGCCAGCTGGCTTTGAGCCAGAGGCCGCACACACGGCCTGCGCTGGCCGCGGGCTGGGCCAGGGTGGGCTGGGAGGGGCTGCGGCGGGTCCGAGGCAGCACCAGCCTCTCCCCCACCCCCCACCCCAAGACTGAGCCCCTGCGCTGTCAGACCTCTGCCTGCCTCCATCAGAGGCTGGCTGGCTCAGATCTGGGGCGCCCACCCTGCTCACCTGGCCCACCCCTCCCCACACCATCTCACTGGTGATCGCAGAGCTGGCGTGGTTCTCGGGGCGACCCCAGCCAGGAGTTCCCTGGCTCAGGGGCCCCCAGAGCCTGCCTGTCTGAGAGACCGAGAGGACGTGGGGGAAGGAGAGGTGGGGAGCGGCCCGAGCAGAGTTTGGGGTCAGCCCTTCCCGCTGGGAACCCCGCGGCTACCCCTCACTACTGTAAAAGGGGCCCTAGCTGCCCTCTCAGGGTGTTGGGAGGGAGGACCGGGAAGTCTGTCAGCCTGGCCCCTAGGCTGCCTGGTTCCGGTCCAGCAGCTGGAGGCTGGCGGGCCCTGGGCTGGAGCTGGATGGGGGTGCTGGGCAGCAGGGCGGCTCGCAGCCGCTTCATTTGTCTAAGGCGAGCAGCCAGCAGTTTCAATTGGGAACTCTCCCTTCAAGCGGACTAAAAAGAAAACAGAATTTCCAACTTCTCTTGTAGTGGGCTCTAGGGCCAGCGGTGGCCACCCACTCCTTCGCAGGCAGGCTGGCCCCTTCGGAGAGGCATTTGCTCTTCAGGCACGCTCACTCCCGACTTGCCTCCAGAACCTGCTGGCCCTCCAAGCGCCCGTTCTGGTGAGCTGGGGAGAGCAGGAGGTTAAGTGGCTTGCTCAGCGCGGGCCAGCCGGCACTGGCAGAGCTGGGCCCGCAGCCTCGCCACCGCCCGGCCTGGCGCTGCTTCTACCAGCAGCCGGCTGCAGAGCCACGGACTCCCGGCTCCTGATACGGCCCCCCTGCACAGAGGAGGAAGGGGTGGCCCAGAGAGGAGCCCAGGGGGTCCACCAGGGGGCAGGGAAGGGCCCGAGCCAGGCTGCCTTTGCAGCAAGGCCTCGGACATGGGTTTACTCAGCACCTGCCAGGCGCTCCAGCCCCCGCACCAGCGGACAGCCTGAGGACCGCCAGGCCAAGGGGCCGCGGCTCCGGCTCCCACCCAGATGCTGATGAGGCACATGCAGGCCTGGGGCCCTATGAGCAGAGAGACCTGAGCCTCTGACCAGAAAATGCCCCACGGTGGCTCAGAGCGGCCCCAGGCCTTCATACAAGCTCCTCAGCTGGCACATCCCCTTCCTGTCACTTCCCACCCAACCTATTCCTTCTGGCCCAGGCTCCCAGGCCCTGACCTGCATGGAGCAGACTCACTGACAGCAGCTCCAGGTTCAAGTCCAGGCTGACTCATCTTCACCCAGAAGCACCTGCCTGTGGCTGCAGAACCAGATGTGACTTGTGCTAAATGCCAAGTGCTGTGCTGGGCACAGAATGGGCACACAGTTGAGACCTAACGATCCATAGATAGATAGCTCCCCCTTTTACAGGTGAGGAAGCAGGGTCTCACGTCAGGCAGCTGTGAGCAGTAATTCCAGGATCGGTGCCAGGGTGAGGAATCTGGGCTCCGGGCCACCACACTGCCTCTGACCAGGCTTTCGGGGGTGGAGGTGGGTGGGAAGAACTGCCACTGGCCTTACTGGAGTCAGTCAGCCCCCCTCCTGGACTTGCTGGGGAGAGGACTTTCCAGGAATTTTGTGCCTCTGCAGGGGAGGGGGACCCTTGTTTCTGCGTCCCCACCACCCCCTGCGCACTGTCCACGCACTGTCCACACATCGTCTCTCTGGCCTGCAGGTGTTGGCTCTCCTGCCCCTCAGCTGGAGGCCAGCAGGAAATGGGAAGGTGCAGGGGGTGCAAACAGGGGAGCCCGCCCCCAGGCTGCAGCCTTTTTTGGAGCTTGAAGATTGAAATGCTTTTCAATGCCCCCAGCCCCTTTCCTGAGAGAACCACTTTCCTCCCCAAGCCCCACAGAAAGCCAGCACAGACTGGCTGGAGGGGAGAGGCTCTCGCTTAGGGGACCCACTGTGTGCCAGGCTCTGTACCCAGCACTTGCTGTTATTTCAACAAAGCTCCGCGCCACCCTCTGAGGGTCTGCTGCTCTGCCCCACTGTCCTGGCAAGAAAACCGGGCACAGAGATGCCTGGTCCATAGCCACCAGATCCAGACTTGAACTGGGCTGGGGTCCCCCACTTTCCAGGGCGCTTGGGAAGTTTGCAGATTTCAGAGAGGGGAGCAGGGGCCTGGAAGTGTCTGACCCTGCCCCAGACTGGCTGTGTGGCCTGGCGGTCTCCTGTGCTCCCGCTTCCAATAGGAATGACACCTGCCTTTGCTCTCCCTGCCCCCCGGGGGGGGGGCTGACATTCCAGAGTACAGGCTTCCTGGGCTTTTGGGGTATGGTGACTTCAGCGGCTGAGGAGGGGGCACACAGGGCCTCTGTAGCTCCCTGGGGAGCCCTCTGGCTCAGAGCCTCCACCCCTAAGTACCTTCAGGGCCCCATGTGTGGTCCCCACCTCCTTCACCACAGCCCAAATTGAGAGCCCAGGGCCCTGAGGAGGGGCATGCTTCCTCTCCCAATGGGTGCTAATGGCCTCAAAGGTTCCCAGGGGCCCCTGGAAAGCCCCCCAGTCGTGCCAATAACCTGCCTGAGGATCCTCAGGCTCCCGGGGCTCAGAGCGAGGGGTGCCACAAACCTCTCGGTACTGGGGCATTCCAAGACCCATCACCCCTATGTCGGGAAGCCCTAGGGTGGGCACGCGGTGTGCGGCTGGCAGGGGCAGTGGCAGTCAGGGTGCTGCGTGTGAAAGTGGGGCGTGCGCGCAGCACGGGCGCGGGGAGGCGTGAAAGCGGCGGGGCAAGCCCGGTGTTCGCACGCGGGCGCGACGCGGTGCGCAGGGCTGGAGCGGCGG